GGCCGCAAGGATGATCAGGGGCCTGGAACATCTGCCCTATGAGGAGAGGCTGAGGGAGCTGGGCCTGTTCAGCCTGGAGAAGAGAAGGCTGAGAAGGGACCGGAGCAGTGTCTATAAGTACCTCAAGGGAGGCAGTGAGGAGGATGGTGCTGGTCGCTTTTTAGTGGTGGCCACTGACAGAACTAGAGGAAACAGCTGGAAACTGAAGCATCAGAAGTTCCACAGGAACTTAAGGAAAAAATTCTTGACAGTGAGAGTGCCAGAGCACTGGAACAGGCTGCCCAGAGAGGTTGTGGAGTCTCCTTCTCTGGAGATCTTCAAAACCCGCTTGGACACAGTCCTGTGTCCCGTGCTCTAGGTGACCCTGCGTGTGCAGGGGGGTTGGACTAGATGACCTCGAGAGGTCCCTACCAACCTTAAGCATTCTATGATTCTATGATTAACAGATCTTCTGGTCTTTTTTTGTAGAACAAAGCCAAATGGAAAATAACATTTGTCCTCAAAATGTGCTTTCAGCTTAGCACTCTGCTTTACAGCCTTTGTGTTCATCCTCTCAGGTTGCTTCCATTTCTGTCCATCTGCAGAGTCTTCTGTTTTTTGGACTGGTTGCCTTCTCTGCTGGAAACTCTGCATTTAATGGCTCAGAAATACCCTTTTCCAAGTGTTTCTCTTTGGGTAATTTTGCTTGCATCTGGTTGAGGCTGGGTATGGGATAAACTTGGGAAAACCTGATGACTCTGTCAAGTTTTCTGCCACTTGTAATACCGGTCTGTGGTGATGGTGAAAAATAAACAGCTACAGTGACTATCCAGTGACAGGCTTCAAACAGCCCCCACTTTCTCAGTCATATGCCTGGGACAGTGGATGTGGCTTAAGTATGGGAAAGATGACGTCAGGACTGAGTTACAGAATTAAAGAGATTATTAAATAGGACAGACTGTGTGCTTTTTTTTTCCTTTTTTTTTTCTCTCTCTCTTTCTTTTCTCCTGAATAGCTGTTGTTCAAATGTAATTGCTTTTGAGGAGGGAGGACTCTAATATGACAATCAAAGGTGGGGATTTGTGTTCAATTCTCTGCTTTCTCCCGCAGTCTTATTTGCAATAGGGAGGTGGAAATAGTTCCCCTCTCTCCCTTTTTTGTCTTTCCTTTCTGTTTTGATGTAGTGTGTGTCTGCTTGTAAACGCAGAAGCGCTCGGTATAGTTTAAGCTGAGTGTCAGCTGAGCCCTCTGTGTGTGACTATATAAAATAGGATGCATTAATACGATTAGACCAGAAAAGGTATTCCCTGAAGGAATCTCTTGGATGTTTTGAAGACCAAGCTACAGAAACGAGGCCATTGATTCTCCTTCCGTGTCCTGTTTTGAGGCTCCCCACAACCAAACTCCTCCTCCTGAGCCCTTGTCTCACTGGATTTTGCAGGACGCCTACTCCGAAATCGCCTACCTTTTTGCTGAGTTCTTCCGAGACCTTGACATCGTCCCGTCTGACATCATTGCGGGCCTGGTTCTCCTGCGCCAGCGGCAAAGGGCGAAGCGCAGCGCCGTGCTGGATGAGGTGGGTAGCGGCGCCTTGTGCCCAGGCCGGGGGGTCTCGTCTGCCCTCCGACCTGCCTTCTCCTCTTCTGTGACTCACTGTGTGAGAACCGCGTGGCTCTGCCCACCTCGTTTCTGCTGTGCGATGGGCTATTGCCACTCACTGAGCTGTGAGATAAAAATACTCGTTTTTTTTTAGAAGCTTTCCTGAGACTTGCAAAGAGTCCAGCTGATACTGAGTCAATCTTGAAACCTGTCCTTTTTCCTTGGTAGGCGATGCATATAAACTGGGTTTTTGACCCCAGATGGGCAACACCCTTCAGGAGGAGGGCTGTTTCTTGAAAGTGAATGGAGAGATTACACCATCTACTTATGTAAAGACAACTCCATCAGGGTTAGGGTTAGGGTGAATGGAGAGATTACACCATCTACTTATGTAAAGACAACTCCATCAGGGTTAGGGTGAATGGAGAGATTACACCATCTACTTATGTAAAGACGACTCCATCATCTGAGTGAAACTACAGGAGGAACTTGAGGGAAAAATTCATAATTTTCCAAGCAATTACTGGCATTGAGATTGCAAATTACCAACTTAGGAGAAAAGGTTATATTCACAAATGGGGTTTACACAGTGGTGATCAGATGATGCAGAAATTGGAACTAGATCAGTAAACAAGACAAGATACCGGCGAGCTATGTTGTCCCAGGTTGCATAGTGCTTTCTGGTTTTCAGGCCTAGATTTGGTGTCTTGATGGCATAGAGAAGAATTTTTATGTGTGTTTGTGACTTGCAGGCAAACAATGACATTTTAGCTTTTCTGTCTGGGATGCCGGTGACCAGGAACACTAAGTATCTGGACCTGAAAAATGCGGTAAGTCACTGGCCTGGGATCCTGCAAACTCCCCATGCTTCCGCATGTAGCCTGTCATCCTCTTCCTCAGTGTTTTCTCTTTTTCTCCTCTCTACCCCTGCCTCTTTCTGTAGTAGTTAAAGCAATGAAAGATTATAACAACAGATTCTAATAACACTGCTAGTTTTCCTGGAGACCTTGTTTGGACTTCAGAGCACTTCTACAGCATTTTTGGTCTCTGTCCTCCACTCTGAGGAAGGCCGTTGTATTTCCACTCAGAAGGGAGTGTTTCTCCAGAGCCAGAGATAGGAGTTTAGTGCTGCAGCCAGGAACGTCATACAGAGGTGCCACGAGCAGAGCCTGTGAAGCCTGACATCCTGGGTTCCATGCTGATTAGAGCAGGGAGCTGCCGGGAGCGTGATGGAGCCTTCCTCTTCCCAGTAGTTCTGAAGATAAAAATGGCTGTGGTCTGTTCTCTTCCTCTCTAAATTAAGCCTGGCTTTTCTGCTGGCTCATCGGGCAAACTTGTTTCCATTTCCCTTGAATAGATGTTAACGGTGCAAGAGAGAGGCTGACCAAATCCCAGCACCTCTGATCTGAGGTGATTTTGAAATTAGCCTCCTTGTGGCTGTGCTCTGCTGTGCTGCATTTAATGCTACCCTCCTGCTTCTGCTAAGATAGTCTGTCATTCTGAATAGGTGTGTGTGGGTTGAGGTGTCAACATGGCTTTTAGAAGTCAGTGCTGAGACATATGGTCCCAGACTATCTCAGTGGCTTCTCCTGGGCCTCGTAGGGCCTGCAGCTATGTGGAAGCAGTATACTTGCAGAGCTCCTCGAGACTTAGACTAGTTTTTCTCCTCTCCTCAACTAGGGTAGGGTAAAACAAAACCCCTAGGGCATGGCCTTCCCTTACAGAATGCTTTTTGGTGTAAAGCAGAGAATGTCTCTGTAGCTATTTTCTAACTTTGGTACACTTGGCTCCTCCGCTCACGGAATTTGGCATAGCTGTTCTTAGGAGAGGGAGGATGCAGCCTGAATCAAGTGGCTTGCTTTCCACTAGCCACCTAGAAATGCAGTCAGTGTTTGCTATTCTCGTGGCGAGGGTGCGCGAGAAGGATGACTTTCAGATAAAAAGAGTGTGCGCTTCTCTAACCGTGATGGGAAAAGGGAAACGGTGGCAAAAAATCGCCATTTAAAAGAGTTTCAGGCCTTTAGTGAGTCTCTTGTTTCTTTCAGCAAGAGATGCAGCGGTATAAAGAGGTGTGTTACTACATGCTGTTTGCCCTGGCTGCCTATGGCTGGCCCATGTACCTGATGAGGAAGCCCACATGTGGACTCTGTCGCCTGGCCAGATCCTGCTCGTGAGTGGCTGTCCTGTCTGTTTGCTCTGCCTTATCTTACTTTTTTCCCTTTTCCCTTCTGTTTTCCCCTGCTTTAGAATTCTGTTCTCTTTCATCAGGTTGTTCTCTTTTAATCCCACTTTTTCTTCCTTTTCTTCTCTCTCTTTCTCCTTTCTCATTCTTTCTTTCCATCTATCTTGCTCAGTCACTTTTCCAGCCTTTCCTCCTCCCATGTCTTTTTCCTTAGTCCTTCTTTCTCACAGTTGCTTATCTGCTTACCCTGGTAAATAAACCAAGCAATCTTAAGCTCTGTCATCTCTGGTGTACTACAGATCATGCCAGTCCTATAGAGTTTGAACAGCCAACAGAGAAAAAATACTCATCTGGCATAAGACTATATTCACACTGAGTCAAAGTAGCTGCTTGGTGCTCAGTAATTGGATTTATCAGCAAGCCCAGTTATGCAGGGAGCTGACATTTGGGTCTTTATTAGAGCGTCAGCAAGACTTGGCTGCAGTTTGTGCTGTGTTCTCTCTGCCATGCTATATATTGCTTACCTTATGGTAGCAATACTGTAATTCGGCTCAGGATTGCACTGTCATTTTGTATGTTTGCCTCCAGCCATAATAATTCTGCCACCAGATTCTCTTTGGGATTTAACTTGTTACAATGGATTCAGCAGAGACATTGCTTGTATTTTAGGAAGAGCACGTTACCTTTTGAGATGCTTTTATGTATGAAGTGTCTCATGAAGGAAACAAAAAAGAAAATCTGAGGTTCCTTTCTGTTCCTGGGATGATTCTGGAACTATTTTTTTGTAACATGTTAAAAAAAAAAAAAAAAAGATGTAAGGCTCAGTAAATGCTAGCTGCTTTATGTATTGAAGCTATTTAGGACTGTGCTACTAAGCGTAGCATCCCATGAGGAGAGATCCCAACCCCATCATGCAGTGATTGCTTGGAGACTTGTTGCACGATAGCTCTCTCTGGTGCTCAAAAGGAAAATTACAGCCTATTTTATTTTATTTATTTAAGTTATTTTATGTTATGTTATTTTAGGTTATTTTATTTTATGTGTCCTATTTTTTTGTGAAAACACCTGAAAGTAGGGGAAATCACTGATGTTGAGATAAAGCCTGTACGTGGCGTGCAGGGTCTCTTCCTTTCCCCTTCCTATTTCTAGACATTTCTCTGTAAAGCCACAGTTTCTTCCACATTCTTCCCTTTTCCATAAAACATTTTTTTCCCCTTAACTTTTGCAGATGTTGTTGTCTCTGTCCCTCACGTCCCCGCTATGCACCCGGTGTCACCATTGAGGAGGACAACTGCTGTGGCTGCAATGCCATTGCCATCCGGCGGCACTTCTTGGATGAGAATATGACCTCGGTGGACATCGTTTACACTTCGTGTCACGATGCGGTGAGAAGTCTGCAAGCCCCTTCATATTTGGGGCATACTTCTATGATCCCTCCTTTTTGATCTCTGTGCTTTCAGATGTAGGGGGACACAAAAGGAAACCTAAGTCTTTTCCTGACCCTGGAGCCAAATCTCCAGTCTCTCTGCCAAGAAATTCTGTCATTTGGACAGAAACTGCCAAAAATTCGAGCTTGTTCAGTTCAGTCCCTCACTTTAAGGCATAGCTCGTCGTGCTGCTCTGCTTGCTTTTCCCTGAGTAGCAGAATAAGTAAGCTGGAATGCCTCATCAGCATGTTACAATAGTGGATCTTTTCCAGGTTTATGAGACTCCTTTCTATGTTGCTGTGGACCATGATAAGAAGAAGGTGGTCATCAGTATCCGAGGAACCCTGTCTCCAAAAGTAGGTGCACTGCATAGTGACTTCAAATTACCAATCTTTAACCATCTTTCATTTAACAATCTGAGCCCTTAATGATCTTTGGGGGTAATCTGAGACCTTCCTGACTTGCTCTTGGTGTTTGGCTTGTTGTCCAAAATGTGGTGAATTCTTTTTACCAGGATGCCTTGACTGACCTAACTGGAGATGCAGAACGCCTTCCAGTTGAGGGTCACCACGGAACATGGCTGGGACATAAAGTAAGTAGAAACCACTTCTTATGTCTTGACTTCTTAAGCACAGACAAAACAGATCAAAAACTTGAGTCTTAATTGCTTGAGGTGCTCTCGTGAAGGATGTTATATGATTGCAGTGAAATGGCTATAATATTTTAAAAAAATCCTTAAATTGGAACAGTTAAAGCCATTATGTCCTTAAATAGGACAAACAAACCAAAAGAGTAAAGAAATGAGTGCAAAAGGAATTTTTAGAGCCCTTGAACAAAATTACTGTGAAATTACTTTTTCTTCCAAGAACCTTTTCAGAATTCGCAATAATATCCTGACAATATGTTTAAGAAAGATCTGTTGCAATGGGATAGTCATCAAACCTCTTAAAAGGCTATTGTCAGGACTTGCACCTGTATCATTAGTGGCACTATGTGTCTGTTTAAGTAATTGGGATTGGGCTGACTAAATCAGTTTAGTGTAGAGCTCATCTTTGCCCCAGTCCAGCAAAGTAAGAACACACATAATTTCACAGAATTTATATTTAGATATGCAAACCTTATTTTTCTTAGATACTTTCTCAGTACTCTCAGCTGTCAAAGCTAATGTCACTTGATTTTGTACTATTTGCTTTTGTTCAAAAGGCCTTTGCACAATGTTAAACAGCTTATATGAACTAAAAAAGCTAAAAAGAAACCAAAGTAACGGGAAACAATTCTATTTTTTTAATGTGCACAAAAGCTAGTAACTGATATTTGTAGAAGTTAAAGATTTTCTTTTGAATGGAAGCTTTTCCTTTTAAATGGAAATGTTCATATGCCTGTAATTTATCTGAAACACATTATTAGATCATTCCCTTTTGTTCTGTACTGAGTTTCCATTTCATTCTGTACTTTTCTGTTGTTGCTAGTATGCAAATATAGCCTTATTTTAAAGTGTTGTCAATATTCATCATGAGAAAATAGTGCACTTTTAATTCCTGAAGGAGACTAATGGAGATAATGGAATTCTAAAATGTCCATTTTATTGACTTACGGACATTAAAAACATGCATTTTTAATACAAAAATAAATGAAATGTCCTGCACACCCAGCAAGCTGAAAGCTGTTAACTCCACCTAGGGAGCCAGCCTGTCGTTGTGCTGCTCTCAGTGTTGATCAGACAATTCTACAGGTTAAAACCCTTGATGTTTCCATTACAGGAGACCACTCCACTGCTACTACAGATGAAAATGTTTGAGTGGTTGGCTTAACATTAATGCCTAAAAACAGGATTGTCACAGTTTGGAGGAGAAATGAACTAAAAACCAACCAACATTTTTAGCCTCACTGTTTTAAAAGAAATCCATTGTTTTTTATAACAAAGTTAGTTTAAAAGTAATTATAAGTCCAGGGTCTGAACCCATACTTAGTTCTATTGAATTTGTACAGAACAAAACTACTAAAATGATCACATAATGGAGGCTTATTTTGTGGCAGCAAGCCAGCCAAGGTGACAGCAAGTAAGTGCTATGAAAGGGTGG